ATCCGTTTTGAGTTGATTTTGATACAGGGTGAGAGATAAGGATCTAGCTTCAGTCTTTAAGTGGCTTTTCAGTTTTCCAAGCATCTTTTGTAGATGAGGCTGTCTTTTCTCCACTGTAGGTTTTTGGTACTTTTGTCGAGAATCAGGTGTCTGTAGTTACGTGGGTTTATTGGTCTGCATGTCTGAATTTGTGCCAATACCTTGTTGTTTTTGTTACTAAGGTTCTGTAGTACAATTTGAAGTCAAACATTGTGACACCTCCAGCATTACTCTTTTTGCTCAAGATTTCTTTGGCTATTTGAAGTCTTTTATACAATACAAGTGTACATATGAATTTTAAGATTCTTTTTTCTGGTTCTGTGAAGGATGCCATTGGAGTTTGATGGGGATTGCATTAATCAGAAGTATACTTTTGGTAATTTATAGCTATTTTCATAACATTAATTGTGCTGATCCATGAACATGGAAGGTCTTTCCATCTTTAGTGTCTTCATTTCCTTCCTTTCTTCCTTCCTTCTTCCATTCCTGCCTCCCTCTCTCTGTCCCTCCCTCTCTCCTTCCTGTTTGAACTCAGGGCTTCATGGCTGCCTGGCCTACCTGGTGGTTGAGGCTTCAGGTTACCTTTCACTTGGGGAACTTTGAATGGAGCTGTAACTGCTTCCTACTTTTCTCTGCATTGCCTTTCTGCTTTTTAACTGTTCTGTCTCCTCTTTCTTGACTCCTGGTACTCTTCTCTGTCCTCAGAATATATTCTTTCCTTTGTTACCTTCATTCTTCTTCGTTCATGGAGTTGCATGGAGGAAACTTCTAGTCTGCTATGTTGTCCCAGAGGCATTATTGAGCATTTTTTATGTGCTTAATGACCATTTGTGTGTTTTGTTTTGAGAAATGTCTTCTTCAAATAATTTACACCTCCTTTTTTTTGAGGTTGTCATTCTAGTATTCACTTATAAGTATTTTTTATATATTCTAGATTAGTGGTTCACAACTAGGGATATTGTTATCCACCAGGGAACATTTGGAAATATTCAGAGACATTTTTGGTTGACACAACTGCAAGGGAGCCTGTACCTTCTCTCTCCTGTCTTTCTCCTCCTTCTTCCCTTAGTTCTCCTTTGTAACTCTCATTTAGATCACTTCATGTTTTCGTAGAGGTCAGTGAAGTACTGTTTTTCCCCTAATTTCTTCTTTCTCCATTGTCAATTTAGATAAATTTTATTGATCTACCTTTAATGCCTTTTTGCCCTTTTTCTGCAATAGTTAATCTGCAGGTAATCCTCTCTGTTGAGTTTTCATTTAAAAGACTGTACTTTTCAGCCCTCGAATTTGCCTTTTGATTCCATTTTATAGTTCATGTTTCTTTCCTGACATCTTTTTGCTCATATTATATCCACTTTTATTAAATCTAACATTCATAATTATTGATGAAGAAACTTTTGTGTGCTAATTCCAATATCTGATCTTCTTGCTTTTACTTTGGGTCACAGTTTCTTGCTTCTTCATGTGTTTAGAAAGTTGTAATAATGTGTTAGACTTGTGCATGATACATTAAGTAGGAGATATGGATTCTGCTGCCTTCCTTTACAAGTTGTGGATTTCAGCCATAGAGAAGAATGAAATTTTGGCCCTTGCAGAAAAATGGATGGAACTGGAAATCATTATGTTAAGTGAAATAAGCCAAACTGAGAAAGACAAATAATTGTACCTTATCATATGTGGAATCTAGACCTAAAAACCCCACAAGAATGACAAATTTAAAATGGGGTTGGGGTAGAGGACTATAGGGTGAAAGGGGGCTGAATATGATCGAAGTATTTCATACTCATGTGTGAAAATAATGAAGCCTGTTAAAATTGTTTTAACATGGTGGAGTGGGTAAGAATGAGGAATAGAGGTGGTAAATTTCATCACAGTACGTTATATGCATGTATGGAATGAAACCCTTTTGTACAATTAGTCTACACTAATAAAAATCTGAACAGAAATTTATACTCATAAATGGCAGGTATATAAATATATACTAGGAAATAAGTCAGCTTGGCATGATGTAAATGGAGTTGAACATTCACTTTTCTATTTAGTAATGATGGACTAGAAACAAACTTACATGGGGACAGAAGTGGTCTTTACTCTGACAGGCAGTTAGGTTATAGGATGATGATCTTGATCCTGTTAGGCTTGTTTTTCTGCTTTGTTAGGTGTATGTAGCCTCTTTTGTTTTTGTATTTAATTTTAGGGCATGTTTTTTTCCCAAGTGTGTGGTCCCTATTCCAGAAATGTTGCCTTTCTTGAGTCTTAAGTGGGTGCCTGAGGTGTTCACTTTTCTCTTCATTGAGTGGGAACTACCTCATCTCTCAACACGGCCTCTGGACTCTCCAGTCAGCCCTCAGGCCTATAGCCCCTGTTTCTTTTATTCCAGGAGTGTTTTCATCCTGTTGGGGTCAAGTTGGCCTTAGGGAAACCCTCGCTGAACTTTGCTTCCATCTTCATCCTGACATATTTTTCTTTCTTGTACCTTACCCACAGATGCTAGCCTCAAATTCATGCCTCCTCAGCTCAATGAAACCATCACTGTTAGCTGGATTTCACCTCTCTGTGTTGTGCAGGGAAGTGCCTCTGGCATATAACCAGGGTAAAGTAGTGCTTTTCTTGTGATCCCATTTCTCATTGCTGCTTGTTGTTCAAGGCCTAACAACAGTTGCTTCATGTTTTGCCCAGTTTTTTTGTTGTTATAAAGTGGGAATAATTGGATACCATTTATTTTATCAGGTTAGCGACAAAAGTTCTCCTAGTAACTTTAAAATACAAATTTTAATATTAAAGCTTTTGAAATTGCAGCACACTGGCAATTGTACAGAAAGGAAAGCACTTGTGCTTTCTCTCCTACCCCCACCCTCCGGGAGATTTCAAAGGCTAACGGGATAGTTGGCAGCGTTATGAGATGGAACAATAGTCATTTGTTTGTGCCCTGTAAAAGAAACCATTTGTTGTTACAGCTGTTCTTCAGAACTTGACAATACTATTCACAGAAAAATTAGGGCTGGTGGATCCATGATAGAGCTCTCAGCAGCTGAACTCCCTTCATTGTAACTTATACAAGGCAGTGCTACTGGTTTGCTGCTATAAGCGATATTTTACTGAGAGGGCCCCTTAAGAGAGGAACTTGTCAGTACTTATACTGTTGTCTTCCCCGTGGATAAGTGGTCAGGCTTGTTGAGCCTCAGCGGAAGTGACACTTTAAATTTCCTGAGACCACTCAGAATGTCTTCCTTGATTTTCCAGAACCGCATCCTTCTTCAGAGTAAAATCAATGTTGGTTGGTTTTCCTGCTTTTATTTCTGCCTTTCATAAAGGCCACAGGTCTGAATATAGTTGCCTTCAGATGTTTTGAAAAATTGGCCTCAAAATTAAAATACCATTATGTAAGAATCCCCAAAATTACATGTAATATGAAGCAATTACTTTCAGCTTTGAAGTGGAAAGTTTATTTCATCCTTGGCCAAAAACCAGTATTTTATGGGTGAGACTTATTTTCTAGCATTATTAGATAAAAGATATTTCCTGGAAGGTGTTTTTCAATTAATTATGATAGTACTATTTAAAAACCAGAATTGGATTAGAATATTTTCAAGGTGAACATGATTGTTGACACATTTAGCTTGGGCTCTGTTTTATAGATGAGATAATCAAGAACCAACCAGAAAGGTGGAAAATAAAGATATTTTCAGAGTTAAGATCCCAATCCATGTTCTCTTGACTCTTCGGACAGTACTTTGCTAAAGTCAGTGAACAGTGTCTATGGTGAACCTAGAGTTCTTTGCCTTGTCATGCTTGATCTTTTGCCTTACTATGTCCCTCACCTGTACCTCTGCTTCCCTTTCCTCAGACTCCCTAGGATGTGCATTCCCCATCTCCAATTTGATGAGCTCCTACCAACCTTTTTAAAAACCCAGCTCAGATGACTTCTTTTCCAGTATACACTCTCAACCCCCTATGGATACTACTATACCCCATGCTTCTTTCTGTTATTTTTGAGTTACAATTTGTGTGTGTGTGTGTGTGTGTGTGTGTGTGTTACTGGGGCTTGAACTCAGGGCCTTCACCTTGATCCACTCCACAAGCCCTTGTGTGTGTGTGTGTGTGTGTGTGTGTGTGTGTGTGTGTTACTGGGGCTTGAACTCAGGGCCTTCACCTTGATCCACTCCACAAGCCCTATTTTTGTGAAGGGTTTTTGAGGTAGGGTCTTGTGAACTATTTGCGCTGGCTGGCTTCAAACTGCGATACTGCTGATCTCTGCCTCGTGAATAGTTAGGATTGTAGACACGAAACACTGGAGCCCGGCAAGTTACAATTTTTTGTTCGTAATTTTTTTCTACTGTAAGTTCCTAGTAATATCCATTTTTATGTTTTTTAATCCAAAGCCTAATACAGTGTCTTTTGAATTAATTAAATTGATAACAATATGTTGGGAAACAGTGGGTTAAAAGTAAAAACTGAGTAAAAAGCCTTCAATGCTTGTTTTGAGTAGAATGTGATTTGCTGGGGATTTTGTTTTTTTTCTTATTTCTAAATGTTTAGATACTGTCTGGGCAATTACAGTTGCCAAGCCTGTGACTTTTGATCATTGGTTCCAGATATCAGGTCCATGAGCAAACTTTATTTAAATTTCCTATAGATTTTATAAAAATGCGGTGATTTTCTGATATGTATCCCGGTACCTTTCTATTTATTTTGCTCACTTTAAATCTGCCATGAGAACCACAGCTTCAGATAACAAGGTGTTACACCAATGTGACATTGTTTAGAACAGACTCCTCTGTTCTAGGAATTCTGTGTAAGCTTATCAGCTTCCTATTTCTGGTCCCTAGCAAGTCTAGCCCAGAATTTGTAGAAATGAGAATAAGTTTAAATTTGTAACCTTCAAGATGTTTTTAATCTAAGTTTTGACTAATTCTAAAGATGGTGACTGAGTAACCTCTTTATTTACTTTGTTATTTAAGGAGTGTTCAGCCTTGGTGTTCCTGTAGATGCCCTCTTCTTTATCGGTAACCAGTTGGTGGCCACAAGTCACACGGGGAAGGTGGGGGTGTGGAATGCCGTCACTCAGCACTGGCAGGTTAGTTTCAACTAAAGCATATTGCACAAGTAAAAAGATTACTGAAAATTATATTGATTATGTGTCTGTTCTTTCATTGTAGAATTCATATTGTTTCTGTTTTTGAGGGTGCAGAATACTGATATATTTAGTAATAAATTTGTTTCTATATAGAAATTATACTATTTTCCAAGGAGTTTATGTTGCTTTGGAAGATGAGTAAATTTTTAAACTGTGGCTTATCCTTTCTTCATCTCCTTAAAAGTTCTTAATTCCATGGTGTGGACATGGCAGTCCAGGTAAGCTTCATTTCTTGAGTGGAAGCACAGATCTGTATGGAAATATATGACCTGTTGTAAGAAAATAGTTAGCTAAACACTCTCAAGTACTTGAAGAATAAGGAGATAAGACTAAAAACTGACTAATACTTGATTCCGAAGAAAAGAGGAAAAATTAAGAATGTCAGGAATCCATGTTTTAGAAGGACAACATTGGTGGCTAAAAGCAAAGGTGAACTGGAGATGAGTGCATCTAGTTGGGGTCCAGTGAATGTCATTCCCTTCTGGTTACAGAGATGGTAAAGATGAGTCTGCATGGAAAAGCATTTCAGAAACTTTCTAAACTGGCAGGACTGGTATAGAAAGTGAAAGAGAGGAATTGCATTTCTAGTTTGGGGTATCTGGGTTTGACAGTCGAGTAGCTACTAATATTTTGAAGTGATAGAGAACACAGTAAGAGAAACAGATATGATAGTGGATAAGGTGAAGGATAAATAGATCAATTAACATATGTTTACTTTGAAATTCCTATAGACATCCATATGCAGGTATTGAACATATAGCTGGGAATACTCCTTTGGAATTTAGTAATGAAGAAAGGGGTAGAAATAAGTATTTCAAAACCACTATACTTTTGTGATAATTTTAAAAAGAAGAATTTTCCACTGAGAGGGTATGTAGAAAGAAAAGCCAAATTAAAGCTCAAGGGAAACATCAGCATTTATGAGGTCAGGAGAGAAGACTGAATACCAAAGGGACACATATTGAAGTGATTGAAAAATAACATTGGGTTTGACAGCATATCATTTGTGAAAGTCTGTTAATTAGGTTTTAGTGGGAGAAAACCAGATCAGAGGAACTGAGGAATTCATAGATTAGGGTTTACAAAATTCCGAGTTACCTTTTAAGAAGTTTGGTGGTGAAAGAAAGCAGAAAACCAGAATAATGCCTTGAAGATATGGCTAGATTTTTAAAAAAATGATATTCAGTGCTGTATTTTATGTTTTCTTCTGGCTAGAAGAAGCTTGAGTTTGCTTGTAGCCAGTGAGAGAAGTTGTAGAAAAAGCATCTGAAGATTGAAAGAATGCAGATGGTTTTTGGTCCTATAGAAGTAAGGAGTTTATGGGCTCCAGAGCACATCTGGAGAGGGTGACCCAACAGAGAGTAGACACTTCTTTTCTTTTCTGTGACAGATATTGAGAAAAGAGAAATGCACTGGAAGTGTGTTACCAAGGAGCATACATTTATAGTGGACCTAGGTGATCTGGTCTCAGAACTGGGAACTGGAAGAGAAGAGAAAGCAGAGTATTGACTTGATTTGGGATATAATGCACCAGGGGTAAGAAAATGTAAAGATGGCAAGGTTGTTGGAATTTTGAGTTCAGAAAGTGGTAGTAAAGGGTTAGCCAGGCAGAGAAAGATGTAGAAATGTCAAGGGATAAAAATGAAATTAATCAGATTGATAACCTACAAGGAATGAGAACTGTTAGAAAGAAAGTGGTTATGGTCTGAAGTTTAAGGGTTTAGAATTAGAGCAGTTCTCAGGGATATAGCCAGTTTAAACCACCTGTTGGACTGATTCGAAAGTAGTCAAGCCATCCATATCAATGGATTTTGCATTTACAGATCCAGCCAATCATAGATTGAAGGTATTCAAAAAGAGAAAAATTGTGCTTGTACCAAACACATACACTGTTTTTGTGCCATTATTCCCTAAACAGTTAAACAATATAGTTTACATCTTATTAGATAATGTAATTAATCTTAAAGGTGACTTAAAGTATTGGGAGATGTGTGTAGGTCATATGTAAATACTACACCATTTTGTATTTGAGCATCCAAGGATTTTGGTATCCTGAGGGGTCTTGGACCCAATCCTCCATAGACACTGATGAATGTTGTGATTGCTTAAGGGTCAGGGAACTATAAAGAGTTTCAGTATGGACATTCAGAGTCCACAATGTCCAGTAGTAGAAAATGGGATAAAAGTAGCCCGACCTAGGCGACGCAGTTCCCAGCAAAGGTGATGGGTTGATTTGAAAATGACAGTCTGGGCAGAGATCTGGCAGGATTTAGGTTATGGAGCAGAATTCTTGGGATGTATGGCTCTGTGGTCCTGAGGAATTGATGTGAGAAGGAATTAATAGCCTGGGAAAGCAAGGCTTCATTTTCAGTGAAGGTACAGAAGTCAGGTTTGTGGAGGAGAAGATACTAGCTCTAGTGTGTCTCCCATATAGGCACAACAGAGGGTATTATAAATGATTGTCAGCATTAACATAATGCCCAAAGCATATAGAAAGGGACTGGTTGAGGTTGATGTAAAGTTAGGGAGCGAGAAGTTGATCAGAAGAATTCTTTTGCTGGTGGTATTTCTATAACGAGGAATGTGAGGTTTGTGATTTATGAAGCATTCGCTCTCTTTGCTCATTATGTGAAGCCTGAGCTTTCGCTGGCTTGGGAAACTACACTGTCTATACCTAAAAGCACTAAAGTACATCTTTGAAGGAACAGGTTCTTTATTATCTTTTTTTGTATTTTACTACGATTTTCAAAACTACATAAAAAAGTTTTAGTATCTTTGAGATCCTATAAACTGTACCAGTAGCTTTAAGGTGGATACTTAGGGTGCACAGCTACATATCAGCTGATGCTTCTGGTTGGTATATGCATGAATTGAAAACTGCTTCTGACAAAGTCAATTTGTTACACATTCCAGAAAGACCCTGGGAAAGTTGAGCATCCATGCAGCAAATAAGCCTTACAACCCAGCAAGCTCAGTTTCTTTGTAGTGTATGGCTGAGATAGTGTTTAGTGGTATCTCAGTCTCTGATCTGACCAGAGGCTGATTCCAGTAGCTTCTGGGACAGTGGTTGAATAGGTTCTGATTTGGCCTTTAGCAACAGTTCTGCATGAATATCATGGAAAGCACATGGGGCAGCCCTTGGAAGTCATAACTCTGAATGTATAAGGGAGAGGGAGAAAGAGAGGGAGGGACGAGGAGTGTATTTAAGATGAAGAGCCATTGTTGGGGTTTATTTTTTTCTTCTTCTTTTAGCAGTATTGGGATCTGAGTTCAGGGGCTGGTGCTTGCTAGGCAGGTACTCTACCACTTGAGCCACATCCCCAGTGCTTTTTTGCTTCAGCATTGTTTTTTTGGGATAGGGTCTTGTTATTTTCGCCTGGCACTGACCTCAGACCACCATGCCTCCCCAGTAGCTGAGATTACAAGTGTGAACTGTCATGTCTTGCTTATTTGTTGAGATGGGTGTCTCACTAGCTTTTTTTCCCCAGACTGACCTGAACTGCAATCTTCCCAATCTCTGCCTCCTGAGTAGCTGGGATTATAGGCATGACCACCAGATCTGGCCAAAATTTTTTTATAGTAGTCCCTCACCAAGACAGTTTCAGTAAAATACCATGAAACTTTATAAAAAAGCATTGCATCTAATTTACATAAGGAAAAGAAACAAATATTTTAGTTTCTTGTTCTCTATTTCTCCCTTTACACACACAATATACACTCATATTAATTGTGTCTCAAAAGAAGATTATGGTAAAGAATTCATTAGTGCTGTCATGTAGATAGTGTAGGTTAAGTTACATAGCAGAGAATAGCAAATTTTAAGTACTATTTTTCAACCTGTTTGAATTTAAGTTTAGCCTTATATTAGAAACATAGATTATGCATGCTTTTTTCCCATATCAGAACAAGACAGTTTTGGAAGTTAGTCCTGGAAAGCCATTACACACCTTGCTTCTTAAAGGACCAGAGTGCTCTCTCTGTGTTCATTTTGAGAACTGTAGATGTGATGTTTAGTTAAAGTTACTGTCTCAGTATCAGCTTACCCCCTAACTGAGCCCTGGAGGCTGAGTCTGAGGAGGGAATACTGGATGTGGACCAAGGACTCAGGTTGAATGTGTATAGTCTGGTGAGTTAGGCTGCACAAGCACAGGGAGGCTTCTTTAATTTAACTTTTCTCCTTTCCTAATGTGAGGCAACTGTAGCATGATATCAGAGCAGGTTGTTTTTGTTTTTGTTTTTTGTAATAGCTTTACAAACCCTTACATGTAGGAATAGGGTGATTGGAATTCTGGGCCCATAATTCCATGGGGGAGAGAATTGGCTTTTAGGTGTCTGTTATATAATGACCACTGTCCTAAGCATATATACCTAGAATTTATAGTAAGATAGTTAAATTCTCTGACACAAGTCTCCCCTTTCTGCATGTAGAAATACTGGATACAAATAATGAAACCTTGTGTATAATATCTATATTAAATATTACATTTTATTTATTTTTTTATACACACTGTATACCATATGTCAAGATGAAGGCTGTAAGGTCTGGGATTTTAGCAAAAATAGGAGGCTTGGCTTCATGGGAAAGAAGGAATGGAGCCTCTTGCATAAAATCTGAAGCTCATCCAGTAGTCTTGGAGCAAGAAAGTTTGACGTGTGTTTGGTGTCTTAGATTGCAGAGTAATGGTACTAAGAAAAACCTTCCATGAGAAACTGAAAGCAAAATATTCAAATTAGGAGTGTAAATAATGTGAACTGAACATAAAGATATGCCTTCACTGTAAGAAAACCCCAGTTTGAGAAGCTCATCTAGGACCATTTCCACTCTTTGATATAGACATAAAACCAAATGGGACACTTATGAGAGAGGGCACATAGGACATCCGCAGCAACATTCATTTCTCCCAAAAATGAGCTTATAATTCACATCCCTCCAAATTTCTCCAGACATAGAAACAAAGGAGGGAAATGTCAGCACATGTAAAAAATAGTATTTGCACCCTCACAACTGGACAGAATTGAACTATTAGAAAACTACTGTAAATTTTCAAAATTATTAAAGAGATAAAGGAAGAAACAATGTGTTAGTCACCTTTCCATCAGTGTGACAGCATACTTGAGAAGTCATCCTAGGGAGGAAAGATTTATTTTGTCTTATGGTTGCAGAGGTTTCATTACGTGGTCACTTGGCTCCATCATTGTGGGCCTGTGGCAAGGTAGAACATGATGGGGAGAGCATGGTGGAACACAGTTGCTAAACTTATGGCAGCCCAGACACACAGAGTGAGCAAGAGGAAAGGTTCAAGGGATAAGATAATCTCTCTAGAGTCACATGCCCAATAACCTACTTCCTGCAGCTAGGCCCCACTTCCTAATAGCACATTCAGCTATGAACTCATCAGTGGATTAACTAATCCACTGATGAGGTTAGGTCCCTTGTGATCAAATCACCTTCTGGTAGACTCACTAGGGCCACCGGCCTTCAATACATGAGCTTTTTTGGGGGCTCTTCATACCTAAACCAGACTGTAATGAAGAATAGGACCAATCTGAAAAATGGAGAAAATGAAATACTAGAAATTAAAAGTCTATTGAAAAATTTTTAAATAAGCTCTAAAACATAGATTTTTCAATGGGTTGAATAGAAGCACAGCTAAAAGACAATGAATTGACAGATACATCCAAGAAAATTATTCACAATCAAGACAGAGATGGAAAATATGATAAAAGATGAAAACATCTATTTCAAAAAGAAACAGAGAGCTATTAACAATTTTGGAGAAATTAAGACACAAATATTGATTAAAGAAATGTACAGTCTTACCAGGCTATGTACATGCTGTTGTAATAAAACAATCAAAATATGATCAATGTGTCTGCAGTGTAATAATAGGTTGTGTGTGATTAGACCTCATTACCAACAGTAGGAGCCAGAAAACAGTGGACTGTTCTCAAAATGGTAGGCAAAGTAACTTTTAATCTAGAATTTTAAACAACAAAATTATCACTCAAATGTGAATGAGAAAGATGTTTTCAGAAAATTTCATTCATAATGCTCAGTGAAGAGACTATTAAGAAATGCCTTTTGATAAGAATATTTACATTTGAAGGGGAAGAAGTAAAAATACATTGGTAAATATGTTTATACATTTAGATAAGTGATGGTTTATAAGTAGATGAAGGCCAAAACATGCAATAAAGGTAATGATTTTATAGGTTTAGAGGTTGTGTTAAAAGATTCTAGGGGCCTTTTATTGTTTGGAAGGGTAAGTATGATTATTTTTAACTTGTAAATAATTTTAGACAAAAATAAATGATAAACTTAGGAGAGAAAAGTTCATTTCCAACTTATATTTGTGACCACATGACTGAACCGCATATACTAGGCAGCATGGCCTCCTGGGTTCCTGACATAAAGTTGTTAGGGTAAGGCAGAGGGGGTTTCCTTGCTTGTGCTAGGAGAGGACTTGGCAGTATGAATCCTACTTATCTTCTCCCTCCTGAACTGATGCCCTGGAAAGAACAGCAGGATGTAAGTAAGGGTTTACAGTAAAAGAGGTATCAAGTGTCTGACCATAGGGCATGTCCTCCCAGAGAACAAATGATACAAATGTTTTTCTTTGATGAGCCTTGGGAAGTTCCAGGCTGCTGCTGATCTCTCACTTAAAAAAAAAAAAAATCCAAAGGGAGGGGCATGTTATGGCTTTATCTGTCCCTAGTCCCCATCTTCCTGCTTTGACACTCCTCCTGTGATACTGGAGCTAAAATGTTCCAGCTGGCTAGGGTGAGAAGACTGGTTAGTGATGTATAAAGCCTCCATCTTTGCTTGAATCACTGAAATGTTTGCAGTGTTTATCTGTTAACAGAACATGTTGGCGTTGGCTCTATGAGAAACCTGACCTAGGGGTTCTTTGCAGAGATCCTGAGATTAACAAATTATTGGAAATCTTTTTGTTTGTTTTTCAAAAATTGGAGACTAATATTTCATTTAAATGTCATCTATGAAGTTATACATGCACTGCTCACCTGACAATAACGAAGGCAGATTCATTTAATCTCACTTATTGCTACTACGTTCTTGTGTTTTTTTCTGGCTGCCTTTGCTTTTTTGTAGTAAAACTCATGTCTTTTGCTTTTCTCTTAGCACATATATAGGCAGTCATTGTCAAACTAGACTGATTTGATTTTTTAATTCCAGTGCTTGGGAAAAAAAGCAAAGATGTAGGAGAATTTCTGCCCAGTCATTTCCTAGAAAATAGATAAAAATCTTGAGTAAGGAGAATGAAAATAGAGAATATTACCTTTTAAAAGAAATTGTAGTAAATTATCAAGAATCAAGTACTGTCTTGTTGTCACTTGTTCTGTTTACTAATTCTAATTCTGTCCCTTACCATGTGACTTAGGACAGCTCATTTAAATTTTCACATGAGAAAGAGAAGGGAGAAATGTATTTTGTCAGACTTGGCCTTCCACTTTTGGTGGACTATGATCTAGTGATCACATGCAGGCAAAGAAGACAATACATCTCACTTCAGAAAGCAAACAGCTGCTATGAGAAATACAATTTTTTTAAAAAAACACCTTCAGAAGAAACTAGTGATGGTTCTTCATAGTTCTCCATGGTATGGCTGTTTATACATTTGTGCTTGAAAAAATAATTTTTAAAGACCTCGTAAAGTTGCACATGGATTGCTTTTTATCAAAATGAAGTTTTGAGGAAATTGAATAGAAAACATTATAATGACTTCCTAACATCTAATAATAATCTTACTACATCAGGTTCAAGATGTTGTTCCTATAACTAGTTATGACACTGCTGGGTCATTCCTTCTGCTGGGATGCAACAATGGGTCAATATATTACATAGGTGAGTATGTAGACTTTTAAAATGCTCTGGTTTAAAGTATTTTTAAGGAGAATAATAGAGGGGATAAATTAAACTATGATACAGTGTAGTAACTTTTGTAAATGTCACAGTGTACTCTTAATACAACAATAATATAATAAAAATATTTTTAAATGAAAACATTTCTATTTTCATTTTAAATGAATGTATTATCTTAATACTCTTTAACATTTTTATTTTTTAGATATGCAGAAATTCCCTTTGCGAATGAAGGATAATGACCTTCTTGTTACTGAACTCTATCATGATCCTTCAAATGATGCTATTACTGCTCTGAGTGTTTACCTCACACCCAAAACAAGTTAGTATATGGCCAGTTATTGAAAATTCTTGATGTTCTTTTGAGAATGTGTTAATATTCATTAGTTTACTATGCAACTGGGTAAGACTAATCTGGCCTTTTTGAGTTCTGCAGTGCTAAGGATTTCATCTCTAGTAATTTAAAATACAACTTTTATCTTACAGAGAAGTCAAAAATGACCAGTAAATGAACATAATTTGAGATGAGAAGTTCAGCCATTTTCCTTTCTCAATTGTATTTGTAAAGCCTGAAATTAGGAAAAACAAATCTTTTGTACATTGCCCTTTAAAAAACTGATTGTACTTTAAAATTAGGAGCTTTTTTTTTTTTAACAAAAGACACAAAAAATAAACCTCTTAGATTATTAGTTTGTATTAGAAAATAAACTTGCTGTCTAAAATTTTTGGTAGTGCTGGATATCCAACTCAGGGCCTTGTGCTAGGCAACACTCTACCACTAAGCTCCGTCTCCGGTCCCTTGAGAATTTTAATTTTTGTGGAAAAAAGACATTGTATTTAGAACCTCAGTGTTTATAATTATCCTTCAGGGACCATAGTAATAAAATTAACAGGCTAGCTCTGCAAAGTATTAAAACAAATGAAGGATTGAAAAAATGGAGAATTTAAAACTTGCCTGTAATTTAAGGAATTGTAAGAAATACTAATATATGTCCTGTAGTAATACATTTGAAAGTTTTACTTGTCAAGAATTTTATTGAATTCATTAAAGGAAATCACAGTCTTTAATATGAAAGAAATATTCTATCATATGCAGATGAGTTGGATTGAAATTACCCAAGCCAGCTGTTTTTAAAATATTTTACATGTCTTTAGCTGCATTTATACCACAGTGAAAGAGCAGAGTTGTGACAGATAGTATAGCATGCAAAATTTAAAATAATTTCTGTTTATTCCTTTATAGAAAGTTAGCTGATCCCTGCCCTAGAAATAGTAGAATGAGGTTGATGTTTTTTGTTTTGTTTTGTTTTGTTTTCAATCTAATCTAGAAGTAGAGTTAAAACTGGGAAAATTTCACAGATCCAAAGTTACTTTGTGGTAGCAAGAAGACTTTGAAAGCATGAAAATGGAGTTGTCTTCCAGGCTAGCAAAAGTATTTCCCAAGGCATGCTTTTTTTTTCCTTTGATTCATATATTTTTCAGGTGAAGCAGAACAGGTAGTAAAACTAATAGGTTCTTTTATCTGTGAAAGTTTTTAAAAATAGAGGTCACTGAGTCCCATCCTATCTTTAAACTTGTGATGGGGTCTGGGCAGTTAGTTTTTTTTTTGGAGCCACAGCTGAACCTGACCTGATTAGAAGAGGCAACGAAGGGAAGTGTGAAGTAAGCAATGTAATAGGTGTGTTGTGCTATAATTCAGTGAGGTGTGCATGTGTTCACGGTCTCCCTGTATAGAACAGGTTGGCCTCAAACTCGCGATCCTCCTGCCTCAGTCTCAAGTGCTGGGATTACAGGCCTGTGCTATAATTCCCAGCCAGAGTCCAGTGTTTTGAAACTGTAAATAGTATATATAATTTGTGATTATTCAAGGACGATTCAATATTTTAGCTGAAGTAAAAGATAAATTTTAGACTAGTAGTCACATGGAGGGTTGTTTCAGTAGCAGTCTTGACCCTGTAGATTTATTAGTTCTTTAAATTGTGTTGAGTAGATACTATATCTCAGACAGTCTGGAAGGTAACCAATAACAAAAGAATAGTTATGCCTTAGTCTCTGTTGATAAAGAACAGATGTAAAGATGCAGAAATTAGTGTGGATCAGGGTGTTGTTGCCATAATGGAACCTAATGGATAGTACAAGGGAATAGATGAGCAGTTTTATCTTGGAGTGAGGGTTAGAAAAAGATTTATAAAGGAAATAATGACTTTAAGATGACCAGAGAAGTCTTATGGTTTCCTTGCTGTGTGGATTTTAGTCGTAAGCCCTGAATTCCACTCAGCCATTTTCAGCATAGGGAAAAATTGCAAGGGTTAGCCTTCCTTTTGTTATTACCTAATGTACCATCTTTCACCTTTCGACTCTGTAGGTGTCAGTGGTAACTGGATTGAGATCGCCTATGGTACGAGCTCTGGGGCAGTGCGAGTCATTGTGCAGCACCCAGAGACACTTGGGTCAGGTCCTCAGCTTTTTCAGACTTTCACAGTTCACCGAAGCCCAGTTACAAAAATCATGCTGTCAGAGAAGCATCTTGTTTCTGGTAAAGTGACTATTATTATTGGGAAGGAATTCCACCTCTGTATGACTTGGCCCTGTGTGTTATTCTCTGTATGCCTACAAAGTAAAAGAATGAAAGAATAGTATTTTATGTGAGAAAAGTATTCTAAAAGAAATGGTAGAAAACTTTAATAACTGAAAAAATGTTATGATTGTCTTTCAAAGAGTTGACTGCCTGGTTTAATATACAGAAATTTAGGAGGTATATTATCTTTTATTCGTTATTCAAATGTTTTGTTCCATGGCGTATTTCATTTCAAAATATTTATCATAATCCTTTTATAAAGAATTTATTAAAAATTGTTCTAAGTTTGAATTGTGTAAATTTGATCAGTTATCTTATGCTTTAATACTAAAGTAGATTTAGATTTGTATTTTGCTATTTTATCATCTTATAAAAATATTAAGAATTAGAATATATAAAAAACATTGCTTGAAGAAAATAACATTTTTGTGTTTGCAGTAACTTATAAGTGCTTTTTTTTTTTTTTTTTTGGTGGGACTGGGGCTTGAACTCAGGGGCTTTGCTCTTGTAAAGCAGGTGCTCTACTGCTGAGCCATATGTCCAGTCCAACAAGACATGTAAAATGTTGGATACTAATTTTGTAGTTTAACAAACACTGCTTTTTTAATCACAAAGTAAAATTCCATTGAAGAAATTCATTGTATATGATAGATTATCTCTAAAAGGCTTTGTAAAAATCAAATTGTGAAGTATATCATAGAGCTTACTTTTTAGAGGAGTCTCACATTTAACTCTTCTGTAGAGCAGTTCCTGTCCAACTTAAAATTTTTTCTCAATATCATTTTCATATATTAAGTTTGGTTATATAAAGAATGCCTAAAAGTAAATACACACCTGTGACCATCCAGAATTGCAAACTTGTTTAACTAGTGTCCATACTTCTGGACAAAATAGAACGTTTTATCACTGATGACTCAATCTCTTTTAGTACCTAGTATCTCCATCTACTCATTTTTCTGTGTTGAAAATTGTGAAACTGCCTCTGGTTCCTCCCCTTTCTCCCACATAGCCTAGAGTCCAGCAGCAAATCCTATTGAGTTTGCTACAGCCTGTGTTACAAATCTGATCACTTCCCATTGCTGCCAGCCTAGTAGCCCAAATCACCATCATTTCTCCCAGAGGCTACTGTAGTAGCAACTCACCTTCCCCATGCTTTTATCTTGTCTCCGTATGGTGCGTGTTCCACACAGCAGTCAAAAATGTCTCTTAGAAAAGCAGTCCAGATCTAATTCCTAATGACTTCCTGTTGTATTTACATTTAAGCTGGGCATGGTGCCTCACACTTCTAATCCCAACACTCAGAAGTCTGAGGCGGGAGGATCCAGAGTTTTGGACCACCCTGGGCTACATAGGACGATGCTGTCTCAAAAAAAATTAAATGAAAATTTCTACCATGGTCCATTTGGCTGTTTGTATTCTAGATCCTGTTTACCTTTCTGGTCTCTTCATTAGGAAGAGATTTTCTTGTTCACAACCCTCTAGTTTACTTTCTTTTTTTTTTTTTTTTTTTTTTTTGCATTACTGAGGTTTGAACTCGGGGCCTCACTCTCACGCTTGCTAGGCAGGCTGTCTTGCCACTTGAGCAACTCTAGCATCCCACTTTTCTATTTCTTAAAAATGCCTTAGAACTTTTGCTTTTATTCTTTTATTAAAGTGTTTTCCTTCTAGATACTTGTTTGGCTACCTTCTTGTCATTCAGGTCCTATTTCAAATACCTCTTCAGTGAGGCCTCCTTGGCCACCAGTCTGAATTTGCCAAACCTCTATCCAACAATAACTTTCTCTAATATATTAGTTTGTTTTCTTCATAGACTTAATGACTTGATCATATATTTGTTTGCTGATCATCCAGCTTCCTCTTACAGAATGTAAGTTCTGCAACTGTAGGAACTTTTGTTTTCCACCCTGGTCTTAGCACTTTCACATAGCTTTTGGTATACAAAAGACACTGAATAAATGTTGTATAAAACAAGGCAATTCTGCCCTGTAAGACCATAGCCTGTTTTGCCAGGCTGTTGGGATGCTTATGTGACAATACTAAGAAATAGCGATAATTGCAGTTACTTTGGTGGTTATAATGTTATTTGTAGGATGTGATACCAGAGAATGAACTACAGACTTAAGTTTTATTTTAACATGAAACGTTTCATGTAGGTTTGAAATGTAAATAAATTTGTCAAGGAACTTGTCTAGTTAACCAAAAATCTGAATTTACTTATATATTCTCAATTATGTTATTCTGCCACCTAGTGGATACCAGCATAAATGTAATCACATTCTTTTCCTGCAGTTGTCTTCTAATGCCAGAAATAAATCCTTACATAATAATTAATATTAACAAAATTATTGCAGTTACCCAATTGAGTCAGCTAGTTATTTAGATTATTTTAATGGATCCTAGTAAACTTAATAGTGGAAACAGGAAATTATTTCCCATGAAACTGATCAAACAATATAAAAGTAAATGTCTGCTTTTTTTTTAAAGCAGAAAATTGACATGAGAATTGAGAATTTTTTTACATAAGATTTAAAATGTGGTACTTGTTGCTATTTGTCAAAATTAAATTTCTTTCTAAAGTTTGGTTTAAAATATGTAGTTTATATTTTACCCAGTAGGAAATACTGTATGTTCATAGAAGTTTCACATATTTTCTTAGTATTCAAGCTCATTTCTAAATAAATGTTCTGAAGTATTGTAAATGGCAAATAAATTAGTAGGTTTTTTAGTTAAGGTATGCCAGAATACACAATAAGTGATACTCATTTTTTGGTGAATAGGGTAATCATTAGGTGAATTAGGGTAACAAAAATGGAAGTAGATTGAGAAATACCCCATTATATACTCGTTTAATAGTATTTCAATGAAAAATTAAAACTAACTGGACCATGTTTTTTAATGCAGACATTTACTTTATATAAAAATAATGCTCAGCTCTAGTATAGAATCTTAATTTTCTTAAATAACTATAATGAGCAGTAAATAGCTGATTCCCACAAGGTATTTGACAAATGTTTATAACAATCATTCTTCAGTAATTCCTGTTGTAGGTTATTTAATATTTGAGTAACATAAGCAAAAATAGTTTCTAGGGTTGGAAAAACTAAACTAGGCACCTGTTCACTATGTAGTTTGACCAAAAGGATAATATTTAGCCTCTTCTCACACTTTTTAAAACCTTTTTCTGTGTTTGTATCCTATAGACTATTATTATAATGATCCATTGATTTACTTATATTCCTTATTTTCACAGCAAGATAAACCATGTTCAATTCTCTCACTTGTTAGCTAAGGTACTTTTAAGGTAAATAAATCATTTGCCACTTAATATGTACTATGAGTTACTTAATGTAGATCATCGTGAAAAAGTTAACATAAAAAAGAGGGATTTTGGTGATGCCCTCATAATCTGTACTTCGTAACCTGTTGTGTTCTCTTTCTTTCCTAGTCTGTGCAGATAACAATCATGTCCGGACATGGACAGTAACACGATTCAGAGGAATGATCTCTACTCAGCCAGGTTCCACTCCTTTAGCATCTTTCAAGATACTGTCTTTGGAAGAGACAGAGAGTCATGGTAGCTATTCCTCTGGAAATGACATAGGTGAGTCAGATATTTGCAGGCAGCTAAGAAGAAATGTGTCAGCTGTACTCAAAATTAGTCTTACAGTTTTCCATTTGAACTTTGAAATTCATGAAAAATTAAAATTGCATTTTTTTTAGATACTGTGACTATACAAAATTACATTATTGAAACATTTTTCATATGTTTAAAAAGTTATGAGAGCAGAATTTTCATTTTCTCATTTAAATAATGCCTTCTTCAAATGCTGGCCTCTTATTTTTGGCTAACGCTTTGATACCTGTACACGTTTGAAAGTTTTAAGAGTTTTTCTTTTGTTGTTAGTAATCTATGGAACATAAAATTTGAAGCTAGAAAAGGGCTGTTGTTTTTATATGATCAGCTCATTATATATGCATATTTGTGAGTACATATTGATGGCATTATATCCGTTAAGAAACAGTGTAGCAAGTCTCCATTGATATGCTGATTTCAGCAAAATTTTTAGTTTAATTTGCCTGTCTTTATACCATACATACATGTACACGAGTATGTGCACACACACACACATATATGTATATATACACTCAAGAATAGTCATCATGGAGACAGTTTATTCCCCACAGGGCTCATTTGAAAGAATCTATATTGTTATTGTCTATATTATTTATGTAGTTATGTCCCTGTGTTCTTATAATAGTTATAGAGGACCTATTGTTAAGTAATACACTTTCCTGAACATTTGGTATAAGCAGAAATTCCAGCACCAATGGAGAATTGGAAGGGGTGTATTAAAATTGATTTTCATGAAAGTGAAGTTTATATCCATGTAAAATATGCTCCCATAGTAAAGATTTCAAAATACTTCCTTTAAAAAAACATAGGCTACTTAGAAGAATTGTGCTACTATAGTCTTAAGTTTTTAGAAAAAAAAATGTTCAGTGTCATCAAACAGTTGCTGTGTGATCTCAGACTTCCATATGATGCTAAGAACTACAGGTTTATAGTTTTATTTGTTCATCAACTGTCTGAAGTACTTTTGCACCAGATTCTAGAAATAAAAAAGAAAAAAGCACATGGTAAAGTGAGCAGTGAGAATAGAAAGGAAGCAATTGTATTTTTCCCACTGTGCACAAAGGCACCATCTTACCAGCACTCAAGGGAGAAAGGACCAGGAGCTGTGCTTGGTGTTATACCTTCTCATTTAGTGTTTGTGAGAACTTTATGAAGTAGATATAATTTCCTCTTAACATTGATGGAAAAGGACATTTAGAAGGAACTTCATAGAGTCTTAATGTTTGAACTGACACATACAACGCTTTTAGGTCTTTGTTGGATGTGGGAAGTTCTAGAATTGGGACATTCTTAAGTGAGAAAACAGCATGTTGAAAGGATGGAAGCCACGAGAAACTGCCAAGTTTGGAAAATGATGGAATGGTTATTAAATGCTGGATTACAGGGGTGTGAGTGAGGCTAATAGGATAAAGGCCTCTGTATACTAAAATGAGGAGTTTAGATTTTTATCTTATGAGTAATGGGGGGAGTATTTGAGGAAGTTTGAAATTGACACTTGATAGGGGTTTTATATATAATTCAGTCTTCATGTGCATGTCCAAGAAAGCTTAGAGAACAGTGAAGCAAGAAGACCAGAAAGGGAGAATTTATTAATTATCTTTAAAAAAGAAGGATCATTCAATAAGAACCAAAAAAACATGGTGGTGATTGATCATACGAGGCAGGTTTGAGAGAGCAAAGTCTACTCTGACAGATTGATTCTTGGGAAGTGAAAGAACTGAGTTTCATTAACTGAAATAAATAATGGAAAGAGGTGCTTATTTTGAAAAAGATGAATTCAGATGTGTATATTTTTGAGTAATGGTGCCTGTCGATGCCATTTTATGGTATGAAGGGATAAAGGTTGGGGCTATGGAGAAAGACCATAACTAGAAATTATGTGTGTGAGGCATCAGCAGCATATCAGAAGTAGTTGAAAATCTTGGGAGTAGATGAATTGTTCAAGAAGAGCAGGTGTAATGTGAACAAAAAGGTACCTAGAAACAGCTCTGTGAATTAATTTTAAAGACCATTAAAATAAAGGGGCTAGGGAGATATTTCTTTCCTCTCTATAATGTTCCTTACAATATTTTAAGAGATAGATACATAGATCAATGGAACAGAATAGAGAATGGTATGGGTAGAATCTAGATTGTAATAGGTAGTAGAGTAATAGGTATTAGGGGTGACCATGAAAGAAAGAAGTAATTGAGCAAGCAAGTTCCAAGGTCATGTTTTTGGAGTCCTCTTTCTTCCCCATTAAAAATAGGACACATCTGAGAATATTTTGTGGTGCCAAGTTGGGGACTTTGGAGAAACTGTAAATTGATGGAGGTGGGCAGATGATTAAGGTGTGAAGAGTTAGATTATGGGAACATTTCTGATCAATATAAAGTATTGATATAAAGGGAGAGAAATTCTATAGTTCTGTCATTCGAGGTATTTTATTCATTACCACTATTTCTTGACTTTGTTTATAGGTTATTGGATGAGGACTGTTACCTCCATTTCAGTAGGATTAGACATCAGAAAGTTGTTCAGTCATTGAGCAACCGCATAGTGTAGTGAAGAGCCAGACTGGAACCAGATAGCTTTGAGGTCAATCACATGGGACCTATAAAATCGCTAGTTGACTAATCTTTTAGTTTCTGTTTTCTCATATGTAAGATGGTGCTACGGAACAAACCTCAGATCTTGGGCATGTTAAGCATTTTACTGCTGGGCTATATCACTCGAGACCCCCTTTTTAGTAAGTCATAAGAATCAGAGCAAAACAAACAAACTTTAACTACATTTTCAAAGACAGTAAAAGTTCCATCCAGTCTCTTGGAAGTGTAAATACAGTTGTCTTCAGTTTTTAAAGTCTTAGTTTATAAAACATAATTTTGAAATATTGTGTATTTCTTTTTAAATATTTAATCAAATTGAAGTGCTTTTATTGTATTTTGTGTTTGATTTTGACTTGGACCTCAATATCATTGATCACTATGAGAAACTCTTTTTTGGAAGAGGGTATTAGAATGTTCCTTTTCTAAAATAATACAAATGAAATTTTAATGAACTTTCAACATTTGCTGTTTTTCTGACCAAGGGCCATTTGGAGAGCGAGATGATCAACAAGTGTTTATCCAGAAAGTTGTTCCTATCACTAACAAACTATTTGTAAGACTCTCATCTACTGGAAAGAGGTAACACTTTACTGTATAGCTACTTAGATTCAAAAATTGCTTTATGTCTTGTAAAACGTGTACTTTTATATATTTATGAAAGTACAACTAGAAGAAACAAATTACTGAGAAGTTCATTTATTATCTGATTATTAGAAGTTAAAATGAGAGCAGTATACTTGGAATTTATTCTGTAGGATTTATTTAAGATTTTCACTGATGCTGTGGACAATTGGGAAGAACTAGTGGTGTGGTAGAAAAATAATACTGAACTTTTTTCATGGCCAAACATAACTATTAATTTTTTTTCTTAAAAATGTTGTTTCTTCCTGGGCATGGGAGCCCTAGAATTTTAATGTTTCCTGTCCTGTCTTATGCATTAGTTACATCTCTCAGATAAAATATATTATAGATTTTCTGACAGTCAGTATCCCTGTACAGAATAAAAATGATGATGTGGCAGTTAAAGCTTGAACAATAATAACTACAATTTGCATAATCTTGGCACAGTTTTCAGCCTACTACCCGTGTTTCATTTCATATTTTATCCCCTGTCTCAGGGAGAAGAGGTATCCTGTCTTCATGTGTCTCCTCAATACTTGCACAGTGTGAATGCTCCCTTATGTGGCACTGGCAGTGTTTTCCTGCCTTTGTCTTCAGAAATGATTTCTAGCAAACTAGGCAAAAACAGTGAATTTGATACCAGATGAACTGAATTCTAGTTATAATACTTCATTTTATTAGCTGTGTAAATTCAACTTCAGCTTTTTCATTTCCCCTATCCCCAGTTTCTTTACAAAATAAAGTTTAGCTGTTTTGGTAGTATGTCATAGGATAAAATGAGTTAAAAACATAAAATGTCTTAGATAGTCCCTGACTGTACTGGATACTCAATAGAAGTAAGTTTCCTTTTCTTTTCGCATTGACTTAACTTTCACTTCTTTTAAAATTATTAATTGTAGCTTCAGAATGAGCTTTAGCATTTCTCCACTTTAAAAACAAGGATTTTTACATGTCTAACAGGAGAAAAGAGTAAAACTCCTAGACAAAAATAAACAAGTTGATTTTCCTTTAAATGTTGCTGATGCTGCTGATGTTTTTAAAATTCCTTGTTTGTTTTTAACATGTCCCTTATTACATAGTATTTTTATGAATAAACTCTTTGAGAGATGATAAATTTTCTTTTCCATCAAAGTTCACTGTATGTAGCCACCATTGCTATATGATTTTTATACTTACAAAGCTGTCAAAAACATGGTATATATTTTTGAAGACAGTATTAGGAGCGTGTAGTGTACTTAGAGTCCAAATTGTTTTTTCTCATAAAATGTTATAAATCACTGTGTTTAATGTTTGTTGAATATCCAGTAAAGAAACTGCCAAATGTTTGTTAAAACTGGTATTGCATACTCTAGCAATGCAGTGTCTCTTACCCATGATCAGTTTTAGTAATCCTCCTTTTTGTATAGTAGCAGTGTGTTGTAATCAGTTATAAATAATTTCTGCATGATGATTTTTTTCATTTTTAAGTTTGTGGTTCAGAGAGAAAACTATAGTTATAAAAATTATAAGCACAAGTTACTGTAGAATTGAATAGAAAATCGGATCTTTATGAAGCTGTTGTGAACCAAAGTTTGTTATTTAAAGAAAGTTCAAGCTTTTATTGAGAGACGTGACATGAAAGGATTTTATTGAAAATGAACAGGAAAAATCCTTGCAGAAAATTTTGAAGGAAAAATTCTGAGGAATCAGTTCCATAGGGGAGAAAAGCAAAATCATATTTGTTTCATGCACATGTCAAAGTTGATTTACTCCAAACATACACTGGGAATCTAGTGGGTATTTTTTTTAAAAAGACATATAAACCAGTTGACAAATATTCAAAAATAAATGTTACTACATTAACAACAATCAGAAAAATTATCACTTGATAAACGAAAACTAAAAATTCGTGTATAATTTTTTTAAATCCTAGCTGAAAAAAGGAGAAATCTCTTAATCTGATAATGTCTATAAAAACAATTGTTGCACATGTCATACTCAGTGAAATACTAAAAAGCTTTTCCCTTTAGATCAAGAATGAGGCTAGCATTTTATGTGATGTGCAGGGCTAACCTTTTGCTCCTAGTGTTTGGCTACTAGGAAGTACAGCTAAGCTTCATCCTCTATTTCTGTAATGTTTCTCATATTTATGTGAATTTTACTTCTACTTTGATTTTTTTGACCTTTCATTTGCCTGATACTAGTCATTCTTAAAAAGTAATAAGTGTTTTCATCTCTGATTTAAAGTGGGCTCAGATTTACTCACTGAAGTACAATTCAGCTAACCCTTATTTAATTTTCTGTTTGTGTGATTTTAATTATTTGCCTTATTTCAGTTAGGTAATACATTAATGTAGAAGAACTTTTTCTTAAGTTAACAAGACTTGAATTTTACTCCTGCTGACTTGTCTTGACCCTTTTAAGTCTGTTTTAGATATGTATTCAACTGTAACTTTGCAAATAAGAAATTAAGACATCTTAATTATAAAAAGTATTGCTTCTCATGCTTTTACATCTATGTAATATCTTTTGCAGAATATGTGAGATCCAAGCTGTTGACTGTACTACAATATCCTCATTTACAGTGAGAGAATGTGAAGGATCCAGTAGGATGGGCTCAAGGCCAAGGCGCTACTTGTTTACAGGCCATACAAATGGCAGCATTCAAATGTGGGATCTGACCACTGCTATGGATATGGTTAACAAAAGTGAAGATAAGGGTAGGTTCTCCTACAGAAAGATGTTTGACATTAAGTGCAGGCTTTGACTTAAGTGATTATAATGAGTGCTGTGTTCCTAAGATATAGGTGGTCCAACTGAAGAAGAGCTACTCAAATTACTAGACCAGTGTGATTTGAGTACGTCTCGCTGTGCTACTCCTAACATTAGTCCAGCAACTTCTGTGGTTCAGCATAGCCGCCTGCGGGAATCAAATTCTAGGTAAGTTAAAGAGTTGAGTTGAATTGATTGCTTTGAGGAAAATCAACTGACATATTATAATCACATAGATGCTGTAGGCTGTATTTTTTAATTCAGAATTTACATTGATACTCGATTTTTTAAAGTTTTAGTAAATTTATCATCTATATGCATATCTCATTCTTTCCATAGAAAATTTTTTTGCCTTTGTTGCAGGGGGATGTTGGGGATTGAACCCAGAACTTCACACATGCTAAGCATGCATTCTCCCACTGAGCTATCCCTCCCCCATTTTCCCCTTTAACTTATTTCATAAAGTACTGCCAGTTAGAATGCCTATTATGTCATCAAGAATTTACTCAGAATTAGGGGAATCATACTAACTTGGGTAGTACATAAATTATCCCTCTTGCCTCAGGGATAATATTAATCGAATTGAATACATTAACTTGTCTAATCTCACATTTAGATATTATGTACTTCAATACAGTATAGTATGCCTTTTATTTTATCATATTAACTAAATATTTTAGACTCTAAAAACCAAGGGCTAAATACTGAATTATAATGGGTACTTACTGGTTTTAAAGAATTTTTTCCATCTTTTTCAGTTATTCAGAAGTCTAACTTCACTGAATATATGTATGGTATTATTGTCATTGGTAATCATATGTAATACAGATCATGAGATAATTACATTTTTACAGAGAAAAATGTGTAATTAATCTGATATGCTTTTGAGAAATCCAAGTGATATTTGAAATTAACTTTTTCCATGCTATATTTCAGCCTTCAGCTTCAGCACCATGAAACCATCCATGAAGCCGCTACTTATGGCTCTGTGAGGCCTTACAGGGAGAGTCCTTTGTTAGCCAGGGCAAGAAGGACTGAGAGCTTTCACAGTTACAGGGACTTCCAGACTATTAATCTGAACAGAAATATAGAAAGAACTGTCCCTGAAAATGGTAACTTGGGTCCAATACAAGCTGAAGTGAAGTGGGCAACAGGGGAATGTAATATATCTGAGAGAAAGTCTCCTGGAACAGAAATAAAAACTTTGAAGGAATTAGATAGTGGACTGGAAGTGCATAAAATAGCTGAAGGTTTTTCGGAATCCAAGAAAAGGTCTTCAGAAGATGAAAATGAAAATAAAGTGGAGGTAAGGAAGAGAGGAGGATTCGAAGGAGGAGGATTCCTTGGAAGAAAGAAAGTTCCGTATCTGGCGTCATCACCAAGTACTTCTGATGGCGGAACTGACTCGCCTGGTACTGCATCCCCATCTCCTACAAAGACCACCCCATCTCCTCGGCATAAAAAAAGTGATTCTTCAGGTCAAGAGTACAGCTTGTGAAAAACTCACCAAAATGAATGATAGTCTTGTTAAATTTAGATGAATATTAAAGTATCCTGGATTTTAGCACATTAGTTTTTACACTAAAACTTTACAGGATAAAATATCTTCTTACAGAATTACCTGAAATAAAGAGAGACAATAATCATCTCTCTTGACATTTTGAAATTTTATGTTTTTGCAAGCACGTGTGACAGATCATTTGTAAAGCAGGAGTCTGTTGGTTCTGTTACAGTACCATGTCTTATTAGGATAGTGCTCACATGGGTAAGTATCCCTTAGAGCATGTGACCCAGTGACCTGCATTCCTAATCTCAGTTATGCCTGAGATTTGTCTTTCAATCTTGTTATCTCAAGTGAATCACACAATTTTTCTAGGAACCTGGGCTCCCAACCCTTATTGTGACTGCAAAATATTTACCAGGTATTTGATGAGGTGCTATGTTTGTGACAAAATACCATGTAATTCAGAAACACTATTGATGTTGACTACCAAGTTCCACTGTGTTGTAAGAATTTTGTGGTCATTTTATTTTAATTATGGGTCATTTTCTTATTCTCATATTGGGAGTTCTTAAATCATAGTGTGCATCGCCAATATTCAATGACAAAAAAGTCCATGTAAAAAGTTTAAGTTGGAGCAATTATCTGTTTGAAAAGATGAAGTAAAAATAATAATAAGGGCAAAGCTTTGTGTGCCCAGAAGGGGAAATTCTCAGCTGCTACTCTGCCTTGCTGGAGGAGCCACCATATTTTTTCAGTGTTTAATAATCAAGATAATTAATTGTGGCCATTGTGTTACACTTTGGGACTATAGTTCTGGATTTTTTGGCAAAGATTTGGACTCTTGTAAAAATGTTATTTTGAATATATTTTGAGTTTTAAGAGTAAAAGAAGTTTTTGTATTTTTTTCTTCATTTAATTAGAATGATTTTCACGTTTATGCAAATAGGCTAAGTGTAAATTTAAATCATTAAGCATTTATTGGTGAATAATATATATATATTCCCATTCCGAGAAATACAATAAATGAAGTTGAAATAAATTCTTTAAGTTTACTATATTGCCAGTGGTTTCCAAAATTCTCTTGTATCTATTTATCAATGAAACCAAATAAAAATTATTAAGACAATGTTGTTTTCAGTTATTTAGGGAGCAGTTACCCTGTTTGAATTGTACCCACTTGTGTTTTGTTCATTTCTTTGTTTCTCCCTATGATAATAACATAAAAGGAGTAGGAGAAGTTAATATATATAAAAACTAAGTTATAAATGAGGAAAATGTTAGGCAAGCCATAAATTGTGGAATCACTAAGGATTCTAATTATCTCATACTTTTTTCCCTTATTCTGACAGTTGTGTGAAAATTGGGTGAGCAAGTAAGAAAATTAATGGAATAGTTTTTAAGAATAAAAGACCACTAAAGAAAAAAAAAAGATAATGAGAACAATTACACAGTAAAATTCCACAAAAAAGCTAACAGACTAAACCATGGATTGCTGTACGCTATTAGTCAAATCTTGTTTTTTTCATATACTGGAGTTTAAACTTGAGTGTTAGATATTTTAGTCTACTCTGGTGCCTTACGACCTTGAGCAGATTATTCCCAGTTGCCTAAATTTTTTCCTTATAACCACCTTAAGGATATTGTGATTAGAATAAAAATACTGAAATGCATTTGTGTACTTTGTGTGATTGCTGACAAGTGAAAACTGGTAATTCATACTATGAAGAGTTACTCAGGTAATTTGTTGATTCTAAATACTTTATCATCATACCGCTTAGGTAAATACCCTCCTCATTTCACAGATGGTATCCCTGAGATCCACAGCAGATAAATAATGTAGCCAGGTACTGAGCCAACTTTTGATCCCAGATCTTCCTGTTTGCACAGCCTATTGTTTTTTCTCTTGGCTTTCCGGTCCAGGCTTATGTATCAGAATCACCTGAGGTTAAAATAGTCGCCCAAGCCCACTCTAGTCCTGCTGAATTGGAATCTCTAGTAGTTGGGACTTACATCTTGAAAAAAGGTAATCACAGTTGATTCTAATGTACATGGCTTGAGAACACACCCACACCATCCTATTTTCTTAAGTGGGTATGCTTTATCACCATTTATGTGTAACTCAGGATTGCTAGGAGCATTTTGTCATAAATATATTAAATCAAACTTGGTTCACATTTAAATATTTATTAAGCAAACCATCTTTAGATTAATTTACATGATATTTGCACATTAGAAGTGAACTATTCATGTGTGACTTAATTGCGTTCCTTATTACTGAATTATTTCACTGGCCTATTTTTTATTTACAGGTTGTTCCAGTTGAATTATTTTTATATGGATGACAAAATGAGTTTTACATTAGTATAAGGTACTGCAACCAATTTGTGTTTAGGTTCTTCATTTAGTAGAAATTAAAGAAGATCATCTATAAACACAATTCTTAGTAGAGCCTATAAAAACAACTATGCACTCATCAAATAATATTAGGAATAACAAAACATGGTAGTTCTTAAGCTGAGAATGTGGTGTATACAAGTAATAAGACCTGAGTCAGAGGAGATACAGAATAGATTCAAGAGTTCATTGGCGGGCTCATCATTTGCTCTGAAAGGGAGAACCATTGAGCAGGGAGCATAGTCCCTATGTAGAGTGTTTTGCTTCCATACATGATTTCTTCCAGGCTGCTTTGCTTTGCTAGTTCTCAGCGTTACCAACACTTGGAAGATTTCGAAGTACGGATGCCTTAGCCCCACCCTACTGGATCAGAATCTTGGGGGTGGATCTAAATAGTTGTGTAATAGAGGCTTGGCATGTAATGCCACTTAAACTAGCAAAAACAAAACCTTAGGATTCTTCTCTGAAATAGATTCAAGGAAAATTAGGAGTGTTGCAGAAGATTGTGTTCTGGGCAGAAGCCATACAGGATTATGTTCACCCTGAGTTACAGAGTCCAAAAGTAAGTTATTCCACTAACTGAATTCGTGTAATAATTAAGAGTATCTAATTAGATGGTTAAGTGGACAGTGATTTAAAACAATCCCTTGCAGTTCTCTATTCTTTGTGTTCTTTGCAATTTTATGACTGTGTTTTAAAAAATACACAAACTAGTAAAGTTTTCAAAAATGATGAGTAAGTCCTATCTCCTGAGACCGTCTGTGACTAGAAAATCATATTTGCAGAACTGTGTGCCATGGATAAGGAAGCCTGTCCTCTGTGGCTCACACCTCTTATTGTAGCTACTCGGGAGGCAGAGATCAGCAGGATTGTGGTTCAAAGCCAGTCCCGAGCACATAGTTCACAAGACCCTATCTCAGGAAAAAAAAGGTCTAGCGGAAAGAATACCTGCCTATCAAGCATGAGACTTGAATTCAAACCCCAGTACCTCCAATAAAAAAAGGGGGGAAATATGCAGGTTAGTGACTAGAAAAGGCCACTTCTTCCCTGTATGATGTAGGTAACCATACTTAGCCATGGTTAAGGCACATCTGTGCCAGCTTTAAATAATGGACCCAAATTCAGCAAGTGGGAAGAAACCCCACCAAACTAGCCAATTGTCTATTTCCATTTCAGAAAATGTATAACTTTTGTAAGAAATAAATTTGCACAGCTTCTCCTAAAAGTGCACCTTTTTTTCCCCAGATTTGTTTACAGCAGTTGCAACAAAGAGGCAAAACTGTTTAATACTGGTCTGTGCTTTTGACACTTAGGGTTGGCAAAATTTGTCTAGGTGTTGGTCAGTCTGAGGACCTGCTTTTCCACAGATTTGGATAAAGTTGCTGTTCCCCCAAAAGTCCACAATCTTTGCTGTACCATGGCGAGCAGTTCATGGTTTCATGCAGAATAAATAGGTTAAATGTTTAAGTTTTTGTCAACTTAGTCTTGCAAAAGTCCACCTGCCTTTGGAAGTAGATTCATAAAATACTGTCAAATTTATGTATGAGAAAACTTCAAAATAATTTCATGCAATCATTAAAACCTTTTAAGAATGAAGGCATAAGAATGGTCTTATATTGTTTCCCAGGAAGAACAAATTTAAATATCATTAATTTCATGCTGATGACTTGGAAACATGTTTTGTTTGCCATAGGACTTTTATCAATAATCTTGTAATCCAAAGAGAAACTTTTCAATTGTAGAAATTTGTTTTATCAGGCTGAGGGCATGGCTATAGTGGTTAAATGCTTGCCTAGAAAGTGTAAGGCCTTAAGTTCAAATCCCAGTAATGTCAAAAAATTGATCAAAGTATATTGTATGTGTGTGTAGAAATACCACAATGAAACCATTTTGTACAATTAATATATGCTAATAAAAACGTCAGTATCGCATATCATTCATTCTTACTCTAGGGCTAAGGAAATGAGTTCTCTAAAATAAAGGTATAGTTCAGAGTAATGTGTATGAGGTGTACACACATGTACAGTTTTGTGCTTACATGTGAATGTGTTAATTTCAGAACTGAAAGCACAAATTTTTACTTTTTAAAATTCCATGTAGTCTAATTGAATGTTGCAAATAAAATAATGGCTTTCATTTGAAATGTGCTGAGTCGAAAATGTCAGTATTACTTGGTATTCAGTGACTGACAGAATTTTATGAAAAGTGCTGATTGGAGTTTCAAAGCTATGTAAAATATGTGAAGTAAAAGCATTGACTGAAGTGGAGGTATTTCTATTGAAACAATTTCTTTTGTCTGAAATGTAAATTGGCTGTTTACTCAAATTTTTCTAAAGACTCATAAATGCAAGAACAGACATGTTATGTGGTGCTCTTTCAGAAGGCTTGGTGTATATTTAACAAATTGATTAGAGTAGAGCCTTTAGCAAACTGTATCTGTAATGCAAAGTTTGTTTCCTCTGATGGAGCATGATCTGAAATTGGGATTTCATTTTGCATTATTTCATTAGCATAGTTATTCCTTACAGGATAATATCAGCTCTGATGTAAACAGCAGATCAAAAGGAGCAGCAACGACATCCTCTTACTAGAATTGCTTTGTTTTCAAACCAGGAACATTATAACAACTGTGGGCCATCTTGAAATTGCCACTGATTGTTCATTTAATCAGTGGTATCACCACCAGAGATGAGTGGAAAACAAGTATTTTTATATGGATGTTATACCTTGTTTCAGACAACCAGAAAAGTAACATTTCTTAGATCTCTATTAGAAAGGACCAATCTCAAAACAGCCCTGATTTCTTAAAAGTACTGTAGGGTGACAGACAGTTGTATTCAACATTTATGATGTGTCAAGTCAGTAACAACTCAGGAGTGATGGGTTACAGAGGCTGCATCCAGTTTACTTCTTGAGGGATTCTGTCCTTTACAAGTGGGTGTCGGTGAATGTGGTGTGTTCCTTGGTCACTGAGCTGAAACCCTTGATAGCATTCATCAGGTCCTCTTCATCCACATACTGAAAAGTAAGCCAGGCATCAGTGGTTACAATATTTATTGTTAAAGGTACTTCCTTATCAATTCATAGGTCTACTGATTTGGTGTAAAAAAAATACTCTGTAAGTAGTTATTAAAAGCCTAATCTTCTATGCTCAGCCCTAAGGTGTGGTTTAAGACAGTTCTTTAAATTTATCTTATTATAAGGATGACATCATATATACATATGAACTGTAGACTAATCCAGAATGTGACCTGAGTATTGCATTGTGCCATATCTTAACCTTTGTAAGCCTCGGTTTTCTGAAGAAGTGAGGAGTACTTGAGTGAGAGTCAAAAAGCAGAAGCAGATGGTTGAAAGTGATGAAGAGATTAATTCTGCCTCCAAGAAGTAACAGAAGCTAAGGTCTTACTTAGCTGTTTGTTACCTAACTAGCACAACAGGATGGTACTCCAGCAGACATAGAGTAGATAGCACAATGATAAAGTCTGATGATTGGTCAGTATTCTGGGATTTTAGTTGTCTCAGCCACAAGGGGGCTCATAAATAATGAAGCTATCATTCAGAGTCAGTTATTGTACCACCGGACTAAGATTATGAAAGACGAAGCTCACAAATTGCAGCACCCTCATGATACACTGAGAGGTTTTTCTTTTTAAGGCTTGTCCTCAACAAACCAGTAGGAAAATGGTATTCCTCCCTGCCCCACCCCCAAAGTAAAGCAGGTGCTTGCACTTTGTGCCTTAATTTGGGTCAGTTCCAATGTTTTCAGCCTCCTGCCCCACGTTAATAAAGTATACTGTATTCATCTCTGCTGATTTATGTCCAGCAGGAGAACAAAAGACAATTTTCCACCCTGCTTATCAAACAGTTGCATTAGCACTGATAAATAAGTGGGTTACCACAGAATCAGGCAAGTGAATGCACTAGTCTTGTGGGGTGGTGTTCAGTGAAGTTCAGGAAGCTTTATGCCATCTCTTTACCAAGACCCTCTGTAATGTTCAGGAAAGGCTCCTGGGTGAGAGAGTCAACTCACAAGGCCCCTGTTGTGACCCATGATAGTTTCCCATAGCGAGTAGTCAATCAGGACTTTCTTGTCTTGAATGTCCATGAGCTGGCTGACACTGCGGTGGAGAGAGCCCTGGGAATAGGATTGACTGATTTGGCTTTGACTTGGGATCCGCAGTACAGACATGCTCTGGCTGCTCTGAATACTCACAGGCATCCCAGACCTGGGAATTTTGGTGTCAGCTAATCCCTGAAAAGGAAGTTGCTATTAGTGATTAACATATAAAGAAAATAGGCCTGAGATATCAGGGAACTGCAACTCACACATGGTGAATGAAGGGAATGACTCCCCAGAGCCTCCTACAGAATTCAGCAGCTTTGAGACCCTAGAATACAGTGCCCTTGTTTTTTGATAAGTATGAGATAATGAGCTAATCCTGGGGCTTAGGTGGCCAGTGCTTTTGACACCTAGAATACTCAAGTACTGGTGCTCTGGCTGTTGTTCCCTGTGAAACAAGAGCTTGCCAAGCAGTGGGACGAGGGAGATGGAAGGCACATGAACCAGGTAATCTTATCATGCATATGGGCATGCAGATCAACACTTAAGAACACCCCTCCCCCAGAGGACAGTGAATAATACTTTCTCATGGCTGCCCTCTAGGTAAGCAGTTTGTATTTCATCTTAAAAATCCTGGATTTGGGGGCTGGTGCAATGGCTCAAGTGGTAGAGCATCTACCTAGCAAGTGTGAGCCCCTGAGTTCAAACCCCAGTTCCACAAAAAATAAAACTGGATTTGTATAGGGAAATTGACACCTTCCTCCCTCTTTTTTCATTCCCTATTGTAATTGGAGTTGAGCCTGCAAGATGAGTCAGGCATGATGTTAATATTAATGTCAGCATGATTAGGACCTAGAGTGTGCCCTAAGACAAAGTCCAGCTACTCTAAACATCCAAGGTTTCCGATTTAACTGGTCCCATCAATGAAATGTTCCTGCTGCTTATTGGGCAGTTAACATACCATGCAAAATAGCATGCACTCATGCAGCACAGGTACCTCAAAGTGCAGGGTGTAACTTTTTAGGGTGACATTGCTGGACACATCAGATATATCAGCCACAGAGTCAAACTGAGGAAAGAAGAAAAAAAAAAAAAAAAACAGAAGCATCAGTCCTTTATTTAAAATGGTTTCAGGAATTTACAGCCAATATGGCTGAATAGAATTCCCCTTCACATGATTGCCATAGAAAAGAGTTGGGGCAGTAAAGGCAGAAAGTATATTTCAAGGAGTCAGAAAGGGAAAACTTTGGAAATTAGCAAAGTAGTGACAGGAACCCTAAACATCATAGAGCATCAGAAAGGCAACTTGGAGAATAGAAGAAAGCAATTCTCAATTTCATCCCCTGTCCTGGCTAGGGCAGAAACCCAGTGCAACTGATGTAAGTAAGCAAGTGCCAGCAACCCTGATCATAACAGTAGATATGACTCCTCATTGTAAGAGAAATCCATGGTATACTTACAAGCTTTAAATCCAGTTTTGGGGAGCCAGTTGACATAAAAATGACTCCCTTGCACCAAAGAAGTTACTCACTTTGGATCTTCCCCAGTTCCCACAACTCAAACTACAACCGCGTTTACTAGATTCCATCTTGGCATAGGGGGCTGGCAATCAAATATCTGTCTCTTCCAGAAAGTGTAGGCTGGTACATACCTCCCAGGACAAAAGACAGTCCCCTCAGAGTCTTGCCACCTCAGGACCAACAGCTGTTATGGCTGCCCACCTAAACCTGCATTGCGGGAATTGTGGAGGCGGGAGAAATCTCCAAGACCACACCTGTGGGACTGCAGCCACTGCAGAGTAATCCTGGTCTCACCCATTCTTGTTGCATCCAGAGCTGAGAAAAGTCCCAGCTTAACTCTGCAGATCCAGGAAGGCAACCAGCAGTGGCCCCATCCTACACCAACATCTGAGCTCCACCACTGCACTCTAGAGAGATCCCCTTCACAGCCCTCAACCTTGGAACTGAAGCCACTGCAGTCCCTAGGAAAAATCCTAGTTTCACCTGTGCCTATGCTTCAGGAGCTGGGAAAGTTTCCAGCCAAGCATGTAGCTCAGGAAACAGTAACTAGTGTCCCCAACCCTTGCCTATACCTGCACTTGATGGGTGGAATCTAGAAAGGTCTCCTTCCCAACCCACAGCCTTGGGTCTGTAGCTGCTGGTTCAAAAAGCCCCAGCATCACTCAAACTTGTCCCTGGGAACCAGGGAAAGGGCCTGTGTTCTTCAGCTCCAGGACTGTTAACTATCAATATCTTGAGACTCATCCCCATCAGAATTTTCCCTATCCTAAGGCCATTCTGTGCCCCCAAACCCTGAAGCCCCTGGAACAGACCTATCAAACCCACAAGGCATAGAACAACCTGTGCTTAACTTGTGGGACCTAGCAAAAACCTTTATGTCCTGTCCCTCAAAGAGTAAGTACACCAGAGCCACAAGCTTAAAGTGTACCTGTACATGCCTCAGAAAACCTAGGGAACATTTTCTCAGCCCATAGACTTTGTACCACAAATGCTTGTGCACAAAGCCCTGGTACTATTTGTACTTGTCTCTTGGGACTTAGACAAGTTATCATCTGGGTCCACAGCTCCACAAAAGCAGCTACCAGTGCTACAAGCCCTAGAACCAACTGCAATCACCCACAGAACCTAGGGAAGTCCTCTTTGTGTTCCAAAATGTTGACTCCATGATTATTGGAGCCACAGATGCCAGGACCACCCACAAGCACTAGTGGTACCTAGAAAAAGCCTCATTCCAGCCTCTGGCTTAGGAACTATGGGTGCTGGTACTACAACCCTTGCCATCACTTGTACTTGCCCTGAAGGACCTAGACAATCATCCCACACCACCGAGATTGTGGCAGGTGCTGCCAGATGCCCCAGTGCCTTTAGGGCTTGACTGTGGAGATTTAAGATACCATTAGAAACCTACACCAACTATAAAGTCATATAATTACTTTCATGAATTGCTGATGTCTATTGAAGCAATCACAGACACTGCTGACAGCAGTCAAAGATGAAGAGTTACATTTTTGAATTCCCTTATAAACAAACCCAAAACACCTATCAAACTGACATATATCATCTAAACAACAACAAAAACCCTTTCGCTACAAAAGCTACTTCATAAAAGCCACCAGATATGAATACATGAATGTAAGGACCCAGGACATATGAAATATGACAGCTCTAAAGGAAAACATTAATTTGCTAGAACTAGATCTCAATTCGAAGAAATCTATGAAATGCTTGGAATAAAATAGTGTTCTTAGGGAAACTAGAAATAAGACAATATATACAAATAATATAAAAATGGAAGAACAATGCAAGATATGACTGAGAAATTCACCAAAGACAGAAAAATCATAAAACAGAACCAACCATAAATCTTGGAACTAAAAACTTCAATAAATGAGATGAAAAGTTACAACACAGAGCTTTCACAACAGACTACAACAAGCAGCAAAAAGAATTCCTGAGCTCAAGGACAGATCTTTTGAATGAACCCAGTAAGACAGAAAAAAAAAAAAAACTGAAAAGAATGAAAAAAACATACAATATTATGGAACACCATGAAGCAATAAAATATTTGCAAGATGGGAATTGCAGAAAGTGAAGAAAAGGGCAAAGGTATTGAAAGTGCATCTCAGGACATAATGGTTGAAAACTCCCCAATCTTTATATAGATATTAACATCCAAATTTAAAAGCTCAAAGGACCATAACTAGATTCAACCAAAACAGACCTTCACCAAGGCATAGTACAGTTCAAATGTCAAAAATCCATGACAAAAAACCTAAACAAGAGAAAAATGTCAAGTCACATATAAGAGAAGGCCCATCAGATTTAGAGATTTCTCAGCAGAAACCTTACAGACCAGAGAATAGGATGATATAGTCAAAATACTGAAAAAAAAAAAAAACCAAACCTACCAATTAAGAATACTATACCCAGCAAAATTATCCTTAAAATTTAAGGAAAAACAGTCTTTCTCAGATAAGCAAAAACTGAGAGAATTCATTACCATCAGACTATCCCAAAAAGGAATAATTAAGGGAGTTGTGTACTAGAAATGATGGTAACTACTACCATGAAAACGTGAATAAACAAATAACAAACAAAATATATAATAGAGAAAGAGAATGACAGAAATCAGCATGACAGAAATCACCAAATTATAGAAATAAATAATAAAAGAGGTGGAACTTTTCATAAATAGAACTTTTCATACCTATGAAAAGTATGAAGAAAGTTCATACTCATCAATAACAACCTTGAATATAAGTGGATCAAATTTACCAATCAAAAGATATGAGTGGCCTGTATTAATATAAAAAAAGGAAAATCTGGACATGGTGGTGTGTGCCTCTAATCCCAGTATTAATTAAAGAGGCTAAGACAGGAGGATCATGAATTCTAGGCCATCCTGAGCTACACAGTGAGACCCTGCCTCAAATTAAAACAAAGCAAACAACAAAAAAGAAAACCTATGACCCAACCATGTGCTGCTGAAAGGAAATTCATTTTACTAATAAAGATACACAGAGACTAGCAGTGAAGGACTGAAAAAAGATAAAATCACACAAATGGAAACAAAAAAATGAGCAAAAGTAACTACTTTCAGCTAAAACTTTTTAAATTTAAAAACCTGTACAGAGAAAAAAGGTCATCATATATTGATAAAAGGATCAATTCAACAAGAAGATATGACAATTATAAACATAGATTCATCCAACAAATACATAAAATCAGATCTAAAGAGAGAGATAGACTTCAATACAATAATGAGGAACTTCAACACCCTACTTGCCTCAATGGACAGATCATCCAAGCAGAAAATCAGCCAAGAAACATCTCAGTTGAACTATACACTAGACCAAGTGAACCTGATAGATATTTACAGCAGAATACAAATTCTCATCAGTACATGGAACATCTTCAAGGATAGATCATATGTGAGGCCACAAATCAAGACTCAATAAATTTTTTTAAATGGAAACTCTGTATCTTCTCAGATCACAGTGGCATAAAACTACAAATGAACGTGAAGAATGGAAAATGTACAACACATGGAAATCAAATAACATGCTCCTAAATGACCAGTGGGTAATGGAAGAAATTTTTTTTAATTTATGGAATGAAGTGATAATGTCATATACCAAAATCTGTAGGATATAACAAAAGTGTTACCAAAGAGGTATATAATAAACATACATTGAAAACTAGAGATTTCTCAAATAAACAACCTAACAGTGCACCTCAAAGATTAAGAAATGCAAGAAAAAAACCAGTTAGTAGAATGAAAGAAATAATAAACAGCAGAAAATAAATAAGATCAAAACCACAGAATAAAATCAAAGCAGTACAGAAGATCAATGAAACAGTTGGTTTTTTGAAAGGATAAGCAATACTGACAGACCTTTTGCTAGATTAACCAAGAAAAAAAGAAGAAAAGATTCAGATAAATAAGAGATGAAAAAGGAGACATGATAACTGATACCACAGAAATACAAAAGATCTAAGAAAAAAATGTAAAACCTAACAAAACTGAGTCAAGAAGAAATAGAAAATCTAACACATTGATAATAACTAAGATTAAGCCAGAAAAATTTTCCATCTAAAAAATGTTCAGGACCTGATGCATTACTGCTGAATTCTATAAAACATTTAAAGAATAACTAAATCCAATAAAATGGGGAAGGAAGTCTTCCAAAGTTGCCTTTTAAAAAGATATATTCATCGTATAGGGGGAATAGGCTTATTATTGTACATTGATAATATTCCCTCACTGTCTCTCCCCCTCCACTCCCTCCCTGCCCCACTTAAAGCAATTACAAGAGGTTTCTTTATTCTATTTCATATAAATATATGAAGTCTACATACCCTCACCTTAATCTCCTTCATTCACCCTCCCCCCACCCCAATCTTCCATGTATGAGAGAAAACATGCAGCCTTTGTCTTTCTGAGCCTGGCTTACTTCACTTAACATGATGTCCTCCAATTGCATCCATTTGCTTTCCAACCACATGTCATTATTCCTTAATGGCCAAGTAAAATTCCATTGTGTATCTATATGACATTTTCTTGGTTCATTCATCAATTGCAGAGAATCTGGGTTGTTTCCATAGCTTGGCTATTGTGAATAGTGCTGCAATGAACATTGATGCGTAAGAGTCTCCATTGTATCCTTACTTAACGTTCCTTTGGATAGATGCCCATATGATCACTAGATCATATGGCCGTTCTATTGTTAGCTGTATGCAGAGTCTCCGTACTATTTTCCATAGTGGTGGTACTAATTTGCATTCCTGCCAACAGTGTATAAGGGCTCCTGTTTTGCCACAACCTTGCCCCCATTTGTTGCTGTTATTGCCCTTGAATATGGCAGTTCTAGCTGGAGGTGAGATGAAATCTTAGTGTAGTTTTGATTTGCATCTTCTAATAGTCAGGGAAGTTGAACACTTCTTCATGTATTTACTGGCCATTTGTACCTCTTCCTTTGAGAATTCCCCATTTTATTCATGTGCCCATTTCTTCATTGGGATGTTGATTCCTTGGGTGTTAAGTTTTTTGAGTTCCCTGTAGATTCTG